GTAGTAATAATACAAGTTCTTTAGAATATGATGAAATAAAAAACTTTATTGAAACTCGATATGTTAGTCCTGTTGAAGCATGTGATAGAATATTTGGTAGACCATTACAGAGTAAAAGTCATTCTATTTTCCGATTACCTGTTCATTTAATTAATTGGCATACTGTAACCATTAGTGAAGAAGCAAATGATGATGCTATAAATGAAGCTTTACAGAAACGGACTATGTTATTAGAATATTTCGATTTAAATAGGCGTGATCCACAAGCTAGACAATATACATATGCAGAAATTCCATGTTATTATGTTTTTAAGAAAGAACGTGGTGAAAATGCATTAAAATGGGTGAAGCGTAAAGGGTCATTTAATGTCATTGGACGCATGTATTCAATTTCGCCCAGTCAATCAGAACTGTTTCATCTTAGATTACTTTTAATAGTAGTTAAAGGCGCTACAAGTTATGATCATCTGCGAACTGTCAACAATATTGTACATGACATTTTTCGTAGTGCATGTTTAGCATTAGGCCTTATTGAAGATGATGGAGAATGGGAACGTGCTTTGACAGAAGGAGAAGTACGGATGATGCCACAACAATTAAGACGTTTATTTGTGCGTATTTTAATTTATTGCCATCCAGTTCATCCAAACGAACTTTGGGACAAGTTTAAAGAGGCTATGTCTGAAGATTATCAGAAAAATTATCCATCTAATGAAGCTCATAAAAGAGCATATAATGATATAATTAACTTTCTGTTGCATGAAGGATCAAATATTCGCAATTTTCCTGAAATGATACAGTTAAATGAAATAAGTATTGAAACAGAAAATCAAGCGAACAATGAAATGTCATTACAACAACATAAAGAGATTGGTGAAATGCAATATGTGAAACTGAATTCCAAACAGAAGGATATTGTTGATGAAGTATTAAATGTAGTTATCTAAGATAAAAGAATACCATCTTCTTCATGTTATTACATTGATGGACCAGGTGGATCCGGAAAAACTTTTGTTTATACAACTTTATACCATTTGTTAAGAAGTAAAGGAAAATGTGTTTGTACTATGGCATTTACAGGCATTGCCGCAATATTACTTCCCCGTGGTAAAACTGTACATAAAACGTTTGGGATGCCTGTTCCATTGTTCTATGATTCTACATCAAATATTAAAAGTCAATCTAAGGAAGCTACATTTTTGAAAGAGGTTGATGTCTTTATTTGGGATGAAGCTCCAATGGCGCCAAGATATGCTATGGAATTAATTGATAGATATCTATTAAATCTAGCACATTATGGAGTCATTTTAAGGTGATATCATTAACAGAAAATATGAGAACTTTACCTGGTGAAATAGAATTTTCAGAATATTTATTATCAGTTGGAAATGGTACTTTAAATGATAATGATAATAATATACTAGCACCAGAGAAATGTGTAGAAAATGGTGATATCATTCATAAAATATTTAGAGAATTAATTATCAATAATAAATACGATGATTTAGCAAAAGTAGCAATATTGTCTGCTCGAAATGTTGATGTTGATGAAATTAACAACAAGGTACTCGAACTGTTTGATAATAAAAGTGAGCGAATTTATATAAGTGTTGATAGTACCGAAAATTGTGATAATGGAAGTATAAATGATGCTATTTTACCAGAGTATTTGAATACTTTAAATCCATCAAATTTCCCGCCTTATGAATTACGATTAAGAGCCAATTGTATTGTCATGCTACTTCAAAATCTTAGTATTAATGAATGTTTATGTAATGGAACGCGAATGCAGGTATTAGAACTATCAAACAATCTGCTACGTTGTCGTATTTTAACAGGTGATAATGTTGGAGGTATTGTATTTATAAATCGTATTACGCTGTATTGTGAGGATATTTATCCTTTTACTTTCAAACGACGGCAATTTCCTATAAAATTAGCATTCGCAATGACAATAAATAAAAGCCAAGGACAAACTTTTGACAAGATTGGTGTAGACCTTCGTAAAAATGTATTTAATTATGGGCAAGTATATGTTGCATTTTCACGAGTTAAATCTTGGGAATCATTAATTATATATTTAGGAAATCAAAGACCTAATTTACTATTCAAGAATTATGTTTACATTGAATTATTGAAATAAAAGTAAATATTTTTTCTATAAAAATGTCTGAGTCGTTATATATTTTTTTTCTTAAAAAAGGAGTGTGTCTCAGTATGGCTGTCTTTGCGCGTAAGACTTTCTTCGACGCTTCTTATTGGTAAATTACGTCATTTTTTTGTAATAAGATTCACACGTAAGATTTCTTTACACGTTTCTTTCTTATCAATTGGTCAAAGCCGTTTTAATTTCCTAATTTCAAATAATAGTTCAAACTTCAGATAATTAAGACACTTATTTGTACGTATTTTAATGTACTGCCAACCAGTTCATCCAAATGAACTTTGAAAAAAGTTTAAAGATAATATTTCTCAAGATTATTAACGAAATTTTGCATCCCATGAATCTTATAGAAAAGCATATATTGAAATAAATTATTTTCTCACGTAAATTGACTTATTTTTTCTTAAATAATAAGCATTTAAAAAATTATTGTTAAAAACAATGTTTATGTTTTTTCTCCATCAAAAAAAATCAATTATGTTTATAGTATCAAATATTTGATATTCAATGTTAATTCGCTAAATCAAAAGTAATATATGTATACATATGTGACTGTCCACGAGAAAACAAGGCTTAGCTCCCAAACGTGAATTTCACAGGGCGAGCGATTGAAGTACTACGATTGAAGTTAACTACGCTTGACATACCCATCTTTAAAACGATATATTGTCGAAAGTAATTGATATTTTTAACTTCTGACTTTTGCATTTGAAAAAGCAACATAAAATCTGTCGATTACCATAAAAAACTCAAATTGATTTTTTCGACCTAAGCCGTGTCTTATCGTGGAGAGTCAACGATTGAGGTTAACTACGCTTAACATACCCATCTTTAAAACGATATATTGTCGAAAGTAATTGATATTTTTAACTTTTGACTTTTGCATTTGAAAAAGCAACATAAAATCTGTCGATTACCATAAAAAAATCAAAATTGATTTTTTGGACCTAAGCCTTGTTTTCTCGTGGACAGTCACATATATATTTTCTTATAAGTAATTGACACGAAGACTGTTATTAAGACTGATTTTTTGTTAGACGACTCATTTTTAAATGCTATATTATTTTCATTGATTATTATTATCAATTTGAATTTTTTTGTTTAAAAATCTCTAAAAAATCATTTTTTTCTATTCTCACGTAAATTGACTTATTTTTTTCTTAAATAATAAGCATTTAAAAAATTATTGTTAAGAACAATGTTTATGTTTTTTCTCCATAAAAAAAATCAATTATGTTTATATTATCAAATATTTGATATTCAATGTTAATTCGCTAAATCAAAAGTAATATATGTATACATATATATTTTCTTATAAGTAATTGACACGAAGACTGTTATTAAGACTGATTTTTTGTTAGACGACTCATTTTTCAATGCTATATTATTTTCATTGATTATTATTATCAATTTGAATTTTTTTGTTTAAAAATCTCTAAAAAATTCATTTTTTTCTATTCTCACGTAAATTGACTTTTTTTTTTCTTAAATAAAATAATATGCATTTAAAAAATAATTGTTAAAAACAATGTTTATGTTTATTAATTAGATAAGGAATCTAAATAAATACTATACGTTTCATTTAGAGGTTTACTTTATTTCAAAAATTCATCTCAACATATTCCACTACATAATTCTACATCTTGATTATCATTCTCATAAACATTTCTTTTTCAATTTTTCTTAAAAACATTTATTATATTTGCGCCATTATTCTCATTGTAAGTACTTTTGTTAAAAAAAATTTAAAAATTAAAAAAAGGATTGCGCAAGAGAAAAAACGCGCGCGCGGCAGCGCGCGATCGTTCTCGTTGTAATGAAATAGAAAAGCAGCTACCTGGGAATGTTCATGCTTGCTGTGGTTCGTATAAACACTTGTAACAACAAGTTTATCATCGTCTTCTGGAGCCCGTAATTTAATGCGTGCAGGGCAATATACTTTCGTAGTTCAGAAAAATTAAGGTCATAAACAAACTCAGTTTCTAATCTATCTAATATTTACTTCATTCTAAATTTTAGTTACATGAAATAAACAAAAGAATTTAATTACCCTTTGTCTCTTAAACTTTTCCTTGTAGACGTAAAGGGAACTCCACCTGACATATCAGGTGCTTAATGCTTAATGCAGCTCGTAGTAGGGGAATAGGAACAAAGTAAGGCGCCTTCGCTTTTCTGACTTTGTTTATCAAAGTCAAAAACTCCTTCCTAGTGTGTCCGCAGACACACTAGGACCTAAATAATTTGTACCTAAATAATTTAGGAGACTGCAGTGAGGAACATGAAGAACGATTCCTTGAAGATGTTAAAGGAATAGAGCGCCGCTGTTAAGGCAAATGGGACGTAAATATCATAGCCGACTACTGTTATGTGCTTAAAAGAAGACAGTGTACGATGTGGAGTTAACTTAAAAAGGGAACCAATGCAAAGTTCCTTTATAAAGACAAACCAGTGTGAACCATAAAACACATAATTAAACCTTACACTATTTCAACACTGGCGTATTGATGTTTCAAAGTATAACTTAAAATTTGTAAGCAGCTAGCCAAAAAACGGGTTTGTAACGATTACCAAACAACAACCCTTACATACCTAAAACAATTTTTCAAATTTGTATGTTTCAAAACAGTTTTTTGTGGTTCTAACCTCAACTCTGACTTGATGGATCAAATCTGACCTCAGATTCGTGTCCAGGGCACTGAAATTTATGGGGTATGAGCCTCTTATCTGCTGCGCAGAAAATATTATTTTTGTAAAGTTGTACGCATTATTAACCTTTTTTTAAAAGGTAGTGTTGCCAGTTTAAATGATGTAAATTAATTTTATATAACATACTAACCATTGGGTATATTCCATGTATCAAACAGTACTTTCAGTGTTCGTTTAGAAATTTCGTCTACTAAAAAATGAAAATGCAGTGGAACAGAACGATAAAAAACAATTGATTTAACTGTTGTTACTACATTGAAGGTGGAATTATATCCAGCACAAACCATTGCAATGTGTATCGTTCTACAGATCTGAAAATGTATACATTTTTTAACTAAAATTAATACAAGATTATAATATACAAGTATATATTATATATTATAAACAAGTATGTCCAAGTTGTGAAACGTAGACAAACCAAACACTAAAATTGAAATTTTGTAACAGCCTTTTCTCTCATAAAAATTAACATTTTTACACTTTCTTTAAGAAAATGGTAAATTTGAGTGTCAAAGTTTACAGTAAAACCATCTTTGATATGAGCATTTAAAAGCAATTAGTAAAATAATAAATTAAAATGACCTGTAAAATAGTACTTTTAACGCGTCGCGAAAAATAAACTGTTTGAGTAAATCAACCGCACAGACGATGAAGTAGTCTCAGTCAGCAATTGGACGTTTAACAATGAGAAGAGAAAATTTTTCCTTTTCCTCTTTGTAATTAAAAAAGCAGTAGTGGAAGAAAGCAAATAGTATTGGCAGTGAGTTTCTGCTAATACGTTTTCGCGTGAAAACCGTATTGGGGGCATTCTGCCAATCCTGCTTTTTCACCGTCAATACTGTCCCTTGAATCTTTCGATTTCACGTTCATTGACTCGATTTGGCATTTTAATCAAAAAGACTGATTGATTTAATGTGTAAAAATGCTGATAACAAAAAGGAAATATAAAATTTTCTTAAAATGTAAATAAATGAAATTTGACAAACTGTTGGTCTGTTACTATATGATTTATGGTATTTTCTAGATTAGCGCTGTGACTTATACTCACAGCGCCCCTAGCGCGAACGTCGAAAGCTGCCTAAATCATGTGGTAATAGATCAACAGTACACTGCCGAATCGATCAATAAACGTGAAATCGAAAGATTCAAGAGGACAGGATTGACAGAATGCCCCCAATACGGTTTTCACGCGAAAACATATTGACAGAAACTCACCGCCAATAATTTTCGCTCTCTTCCAATACTGCTTTTTTTACCCTAGTAGAAATTTGTCCTAGTTATTATAAAGGAACTGTCCAGTCGCGCTTGAAATTGTCTAGTTACTTTACTAGCCAACTGGCTAATAACTGAAATGGAGTGTCACGCTTTTTTCATCAAGTTATTATCTAGCCCAACTTTATAAATTCTGGTCAACGGTTCTGTAGAAAAACTAGACAAATTAATTCTTTTAAAATACTGAAAATTTGTTTAATATTAAGATTTACTGTAGTTAATACATTTATTTCATGTAATTAATATAAAATTTCTATTTAGCACCAAATAAATTCAATAAAAAATATTTTTGGAAAATTTCTGTATCCATTATAATATATACATAATAAATGGAATAGAATAAAAAATTGTATAATATTTTATAATTTTTAATTAATTAGTTGAATTATTATATAAAAATAATGTAAATAGTAAATCATTACATGTAATTTTCTACATTACTTTTTAATTTTTAATTCAATTAAAAAAAAATAATTCTAAATTCGAATATCCTAAATATTTACTGTTTTCAAACATCTTTCATTTTTTAATGCACTATTATTAACAATAACACTGAAACAAATATTTTTTATTATTATAAACAATTATAATCTATATAAACCTTAAAACGATAACGCAATTTCACCGAAAAAATCTTGGGGGGTAACGGTGAGCGAACCCGGGTCCCGCTGGACTAAAGTCGCACCGCTTAACGCACTCGGCCGTTTAACGCAATGGATACTGAGAATTAATAACCACTGCACATATGTTTCAGTTCAGTGCCGTAACTAGAGTTTTTAAGCATTGGTATATACTTTTAATATTTTGTATGTAATAAAACATTTTAGATGATTTTTTAATTATTATAACTTAGTAATTTAATTTGCAACGTTAGCAATTAATAAATAAATTGATTACTGTAATTAAATTTTTAATTATTTTTATTAATTTGTTATAAATTATTATAAATATTTATTAATTAATTTTATTATTTAATATGATTAATTGATTATTAATTAATAATAATAAATTCATTAAATTTTTAATTAATAGAAAATTATATAATTAGGTAAACTAAAATGGAATTTAAAACAAGTTGTTCATTTCATGACTATTTAGCTTCCTCAACATATAAAATATAAATTCGTGACGTAATTCACTTACAAAATTTTAGCAAACTCGATCTAAACATATGTATAAAATTAAATTTATCGCATAGAATCGGGATAGAATCCAATCAAACATATAAAATATTTACTAAAGTTAATAATATATTCATTACTTCATTTTAGGTACAAATCTCCATGAAAATCAAATTATGATTTTTCAAAAGCATATAACAATCAAAGCATACATTCTTCTTAAGGAAATTTCTTTTTGATGCAGCAAGATATATTCATAAATTAAATGTAATTATATTGCGGTTTGCAAACTTTTGCAATTCGAAATGATTCGAATTTTCTGTTGTCGAGTCGATTAATGTTCGGTTCGATTAAATACACACCTCTATTTCATATGCAAATTGCTTCTTTTTTTATGATAGAATAATCATTTAAAAATATTAATATTAAATAAATTATGAAAAAATACAAAATTTGAATTTTTTGTGAAAAAGAAAAATTTCTATTAATTTTATAAATTTTGATAAAAAATATACTTTGTATACATCAATCGATTCGTTTTCTTGTCAGGAATGTAATTTTGAGAATAATTAATTAAAATATTAACAAATAAAAAAATTATTTACAAAAATACAAAAAATTTTTTTTTTTGAATTTTAAAAAAATTTTTAAAACAATTTTTGTGACATACACACACATACATCTGGACATTTGCTCAGAATTGAATATACATATGTTATAGATGAAAATGAGTCCATATAACCTTCTTTTGAAAAATTGAAAATCGTCACGAATGAAAAGCTTCCTTATGAGGAAGCAAAAATTAATTTTTAACTAATTTTATTATTTTTATATTTATTATAAATGATTGTAAATATTTATTAATTAATTTTATTAATTAATATTATTAATTTATTTTATTAATTATTAATATTATTAATTAATTTTATCAATTAATTAATTTTATTAATAATTATTAATATTTTTTATTATTAATTAATTTTAATAATTAATATTATTAATTTATAATAATAAATTAATTAAATTTTTAATGAATAACAAATTAAAATGAAAAGTTTTAAAATATTGGAAAGAATAAGAACAAATTTATCTCTAGCAAATAATCAGTCGAGCTGTCTAGTTATTAGACATTATTGCAGTGTTATCGATACGACAAACTTAGAAATATAATTTCTAGGAGTACTTTAAAGTAACATTAAAAAAACTAGACAGAAGTTATGTCTAGCCAATATCAAATTCAATTTGAATCTTTGACGAAGAGCGTTGGTCAGTAACTTTACAGTTATTTACCAGTCCGCCTAGAATCAGCGTCCGTGACAAAAACTGTCCAGTAACTTGAACAATCGAGTGGCTCCATGACAAATTTCTACTAGGGTACTGGGTTGGTGCTGTGTGTACTGTTTGTGATCTCCAAGGTAAAGTGTTAAAGTGTTTGACTATATCAACCGCACTGACGATGAAGAAGTCCTCAATCTTTCCCCTTGTACCCAGTAGGCACTAGGTTGTCTTATGAATGTCCTAAGAATATTCTAAAGGTATACCAGATCTCAGTGTCTTACGGACATGAAAAAGACAACCCTTTGAAATCCTATGTCTAGCCCATAGATGTCTTCATAAGTGTCCGAAGAATGTCTTTTAAATGCCTCCAATACGTCCTAAAAATGTTTTAATGTAATGGTTCAACGTAATAGTTAAATAATCTCAAACACAATATAAGTGTTTTTAAACATATTTTTATACACCACTAAGCATTCCCGAGACTGTCACACACATGTCCTCAATGTGTCCAGAAAATGTCCCAAATAGTTCCTAAACATATCTATATAAAACATATGGACGTCTTTAGTTCAGGCATAGAATTTGATTAAGACGCCTTTAATTCTGCCTTTTAGACATCTTCAGGATATCTTTTTTAAGACATTGTTAAGATATCCCAAGGATATCCCACGGATGTCTGCTCACTGGGTACCCGTGTGGAAAAGTCGTTTGGGCCCACACTGGCGCCCGTTGGGTTTTCCCATGTTCAAGGTGGGGCCCAATTGGGAAGCCCATCTTACTCCATTTTGGGTTATTTTCAATTTATTGATAAATAATTTTAATTTTTTTTACTCACTTTTATCACAGTCACTGTCATTTGTATCCTCTAATTCTACAAAGTAAATTATATTTCTAAGATATAAACAAATTGTGCCTTTGCATAGTTTTTGTAAATTAAAAAAAAATTTAATAAATTATATTAACAAAACTTACTAGATTCATTACTGAATTAATTGTTGGATGAATTATTTATTGTAAATCCAGCAGTTTTCTCGCGTTAACCCTTTAACAACGAGATGTGCTGCTTTTCAACATGAATTTCAATCTGTTACAATTATTAGTATAAATTTATAGCAAATAATCAGTCGTTTTTTTGTCGTTTCTTAAGAAACGACAAAAGTTTTCAAAAGTCCATACCCTACTATTTTTGGGGTCGCCCTTTCGAATGGCGTGGTCGAAATTTTATTAAAAATGATATTAAACCCTTCTTTTTTTCAAAAATACTAAAAGAATTTAAGTTCTTTTAATGTAATTTTTTTCCAAAGAATTTTTTTCTCTGTCGTTATAACGCTGATTACGAATCTGATATCAGATTTTCAAAATTCAAAACGGCTAATCAAATATGGCGGCCGAAATTTAAAAATTGTTCTGATTCTCTTGAATCTTGTTACTCGAGGGTTTTCGGGGTCGCTGATTATGAATCTTTTATCAAATTATTAAAATTTTAAATGGTGGATCCAATATGGTGGATGACAATATTAAAAATGTATCGCATTCGCTTGAAAGTTGAAATTCGTTACTCTGGGGATTCTCGGGTCGCTGATTACGAATATGAAGTCACATTTTAAAAATTAAAAATGGCGTAATTGAGCCTCCCAATT